GTTGTTTTCAAGTGAGTTTTCATGGTATCCAAGAAGCAGAGAGCAAACATCATTCAGCTACTGATTTATGCTACTCAATTTATTTTGAAATAAATATTGAAGTCCCAGTATACGTTTTTCCTAGGTGGAAAAACATGTCTTGCTGCCTCTTCCAAAAAAGATATTTCCAATACTTTATCTTCATAAACAATGGGCTATTGACCACTCCTCTAATCTAGATATGAAGTTGTTTTTAATTGGAAACAATTTGACTTCTAGCAGAGTAATTCTGCTATGTGTTTATCACTGTGTATACAAGCTTGTGCTGACATGTGGTGCATTTCTAAATCTGGTACCTCATACCTGGTTGATAATTGTATTTCACCAGGACAACTGAGACCTTGTTGATTTCCCACTGAGCAGAGTTTAGAACATTCAAACTGAAGCTTGGCAGTGTCTGGTGCAGGCACCAAGATCTGGGTTTTGTGTACTGCTCTTATTCAATTAGGCCAAAACCGCCAAGAGATTCAAAACTCAATGCCCTGTGAGGTCAGTGAGCAGAAGGCATTTTCTCTGAAAACATTTTGACAGCAAGTTAAATGTGTGAACAAGTTAAAGTTTCAATAATACCTGTTACAGAGTATGTGTTAGATCATGTTAAGCGCTGAACGTATATCATCATGTATCCATGGAAATAAATGATAGAAAAAAATTCAAATTGATTTATTCTTTTAAGATCTATGGAAAGAATTCAATTAGCTCTCTGTTTTAGGGGATATACATACGTTAATAGTGAATTCAGGACATATGTATGGTTAAAATACATGTGTGTTCAGCGTTAAAAAACTTGCAATGCAATGAGTGACGTGGACTGTAGCTGGAAACCATTGACACATAGTTTTAGACATGTCTTTGCCATTTTTAATTTTAAGGAACTGAGTCAAAGAAAATAGACTGAAACTGGTCCTCTGCTTCACCACTTTTGTATGACTGTTGGGTCACCATTCTAAGTATGATGCTAAAAAGACAAGACCTCCTGATATTGTTCTCCATGTTTTGTTCTGTTTTCTAATGCTGTGTTGATCATCTATATGTGACTATGTCCAAAGGAACTGTAAACAGAAATGTCATTCATCTGATGTCAGGTGCTACTGGCATGGTCTATATCCATACGTCATTCCCAGGTAAGCAGTGTAGTGGTCTCACTTCAATTCCCTGCCCTCTAAGCTGATGTACAGCTGACATCATGGAATCTCAGCTACATTTTTGCACTGACCCTTCCCCAGATAACTTTTTCTTCCCTTCCCTTTGGCTACAGTTATGAGCTATGTGACAAGTGCAAGCGCACTTTAGTGCTATCTCAGAGCTAAATGGTGGTATCAATTGCATGTCTACACAGGATAGGCACAGTGTGCATGGTAAGGGTAAACTAAATTACTGGCTTTCTATCCAGAAGTTCCCCCTACTGCTGTTACAAAATGTGGTATAAATTTTAGCACTGTTCATTATTCAGTGTCAGTCAGCTGAAGACAGCAAGATGGATCCTGTGTTTGATATTTTGCATGGCAGTTCTATTTTCCCAATAACTTTTCCCAAATGATGCTGAACTAATTACTTATTTTAATTACTTTTTTCCCCAGCTCCCTTATTCTGTAGGGCCATTCTCAGATTCAACTGTGTAAAGAAAACTTAAAATCAATGGCTTTTCTGCAATGAATAACAATGTCTACGGTACATTTCACAGATCCCAATTCCCTGGGCAGTCTGGGATGCAGTTGAGCCTCTGTATTTCAGTTGAAAGACAATGTTTAGAAGGTTTTTGTTATATATGGATCATCTTACTCTGCTTGTTGATTGGTGTTACCAGGGTGATCTTTTTGTAGGATGACAGCTGCACACAGCTATCCACTATAATCATGAACAAACCATTCCAGCACTCCTCATAGTCAATAATGAGCCAAAGGAAGTTTTACAAGGATATATCTAAAATATTTTGCAGGAGATGGAGTTGTGAATGATAGGAAAAGAATACTTGGATACTGGTAACCTAATATGCAAGTAAAGCTTTACCATTCACAGTTACATTCCATGAAGCCTGCTGAGCAGGAAGCATTCTAAAACATACAGAGAATATTTGGGACAAAACAGTACAAACTTTGAGCTGAGCACTGCAAGATTCTGAACACTTGCCAGTCATACAGGAATGCACTTAAATAGTCTTTACTGTAAATGTACCTAGCTCATGAGAAAAGCACAAATACAGAAAACAAGTATTATGAGAGCTGACAGCAACCTTCATGATTCTAGTTAGTGTTGGGAACCAAAGGACTCTATTGAGACAGTGCTTTCACTAATCCTAAAATATAAAAACAAATATTTTGACAATGCAAGTGCAGAATGGGGCAGACAGAGCATAGACGGAGGAGAGGGTTTTATTCCACTTGTGAAGGCATAAGCAAATAAGTAATTAAGCCAGAATTCTTAAATGAGTTGCAACAACACTAGGCATGGGCAAGGAACTGACTTGTGGAAACTGGCTCCTGAGCATGTAACATTACTCCCTTTTGAGATCAAGACTGCTATCTGACAACACAGCACTTTGTCAGCCAAGGAGCCCAAAAAACATTCCCTGAGTTAACCGGCATTTGTACGTGGGATTTTAGTCTGAATGTCTCTCTGCTATAGAAGAAAATCCAGATCTGGTGTTGTCATTAAAACACAGTATTTAGCAGCTAGCTAAAATCCTACACATCTGTGCAATAAGGCAAATAAGATAAACCTTTCAGACCTAGACGTTATACTTTGAATTCTACACGGACTACCCGTGATTTACTTTATGTTCTTCTCTTGGTGCATTACCTTGGTAAGCCTAGGTCAGCACTCTAATCTTCCTCTGTGTTAGAGCTGAGTCAGTTTTGCCTATTTTTAGCCACATAATAGTTTCAGTTTAAGCCATCTCCAATTGCCAATGGAAAAACACGGGCATACACAGAGAGCAGTTCATGCCAAATCTAGAATGGATGTCTAAGAGAGGCACACCTCAACAGAAGTGAATTTACTTTCTCAGGAGGATGCTTTGACAAAAGATGTTCTGTAATTCCACATTACTGCAATTCCTAAAAAATATGCCTACTTTCTGTGGGTTGACTGTTATTGTAGGAACATTGCAAGACACAGAGTACACAAAGACTGTGACTGCAAGTTCAAGGTGGCAGATAGATTTATCACTTCTTCATTTTTCCTTCTTTTGTCCTTCCATTTTTTCTTATCCTTTTTAGCAGTCCTACACAGATTATAGAAACATATCAGGTTTCTGGTTAATGGAGATTAATTGTGCAAGCTGTACTATGTACAAAACTTAATGAGATAAACATTCCTCTCCTGTATATTGATGTGCTCTTCGAAACACAAAGGGATCTCTGACACCATTAATGTTATCACAATACAAGCAAAGGACCAGAAGATTGTCAAGAGATACTATGGGCAGCATCGCTGCCACACAGTGCTCATGCTCTGCCTTGCCTTCACCATCCCACCAGTTCTCACATCTTGAAGAATCACAGAACTAGTGGTAAGCAGTGGTTTTGGCTAAGACAGAATTTGCAGAAAGCTTCACTGCCTGTCCTGGAAAGGTTCCCAACAAGACCCCTGGCATACAGCAGGCTACTCATGACAAGGGCACCTCGCTTCTTATTCAGTCCAGACAAAAATCTCTTAGCTCCATGTTTAGAATAGTAGCAAAATGACAAAATTAACTTATTCAAGATGCCAACTTTTTCTTCTGACTTGTGATTGCTGTTATGATATACCAAATCCACACATCCTGTAGCACGCACAAGCACATACTCAGACTTTTAAAGTGACATGTAAATTAGTCACAGTTAACTAGCCTGCGCCAGATTAACAAAAGGAAGCATGACTTGGATTCATAGTTGTCGTGACCAGTAAATCCTTATCTAAATAAGTAATTGGTTTTGATTTTAATTTTTTTTTTAATTTTTTTAAGAGTTAAACTGAAGCTTTGTTTTTTTGAATGGCACTGGAATGAGCTGCTCTCTGAGAGCCTTGAAATACTTTGTGCCACCATACCGTATGGTTCTCCAAAAACAAGAAAGATGTCTTACAAGGAGACTTTGTAAAATGAAATTGCTACAACAGCTGAGAGACGGAGAATGGTTCGATTGAGAGAAAAGTTATGAACAAGTGTCAGAGTGGGCAGTTGGTGTCAGTTCCAGAAGGATTTAAAACCTGACAAAAGCTTGAAGAAATTATGTTAACAGAGCCAGTGTCTTTATGAAAAGAATATTGTACTTGACAAAAATCCATTATAAACAACATTGGACAGAGCCTTTATTAAAGTGCTCCAGAGGAAAGAATGATGCATAAATGAAATATACAAATACTGTATTCCACTGATATTTAACATCATATGATGTGCTTTCATCTTTTTTTCCTTAAAAAGAAATACCAAACTGAGTCAGAGCTCAGTACGTTGATAAACTGTGGTTGAAAGTTCAGCTTTCCAAAGAGGCAAAACTGTTAGAAAGACCTTCTTACTTCATTTATAATGAGATTACAAACCAAATGATATAAGGTTTTCTATTATGACTTCGAAACAACTTCTTATGCTCTATATAGAATGTTCCCAAGCATACTTAGGAAATCTACTGTATATGCTATGGAAGAACTATTTATAGTTTATTTCAGAGAAGGACTGCAAAGATAATTTTAGGCTTTGGATTTCAACAGGGCTAACCTTTTGCTGCACGTGGCTTACGCACAATACAAAAAAAATTTCCATGCCAAAGATGTATCACATGACTGGCAATGAAAGCCTGCTGGCCTGGCTGGGTAACCCAAAACCCTGGCTCTGGGAGGAAGTGAGCCAGTGGAAGCTGTCAGCAAAATAGTCAGGACACTGCCCAGTCCTGCTTCACACAGGAGCAGTGAGATCGCAGGGCAATCGCTGCCATCTCCTGCACACAATCCTTTCCAAATGCGTGCTCACCTCCGGCTTGTTTGGGTACTAGAAGTCCTTGTGACTCTTGGGCAGACCAAGTTTTCAGTGTTCCAGACAGCATGGATGACCATCCACTCCATTCTCCATGAAGCTGTTCTGCATGTGAAATTCTGTTGGTTTGTCTGGTGATTATTGTTTTTTTGTTTCCTGAGGGTCAAAGAGAGAGAGGTACTGAGAAAGGAGTAATGACACGGAATAGGCACTGGCTTGTGCTAGAGCATTCCAAGAACCTTAAACTCTTACGGTACTTAACTCTTGGACCTCCTGATGCTCAGAGGGAATCCTTAGCTGACAAATGCCCAAACTCATAGCATACCAAAAAACAGCCACTAACGAAAGACACTCTCGGAAATTCTGAGTGGAATTCAGGAGATAGCAAGCAGTGATGATGCAGATGAAAAGCTGCAAAGTGTATGTGCCCACATACCTCCATTTGCGGCATCCTCTTGCTTGGGAATTGTCATCTCATTATCATCATTGTCAAATTAATAGGGAATTGCCAATTTTGATTCCCCCCCTAAAAATAATCCAGGAGTAAATCGCTAGGATTGTATTTTAAGCACTCAAATAAAACACAGGAGACACTGATTTATTTTCATCCTCTGCTTGATTCAGAGCAGGGATCTCTTTATCCATGTTTATCACATCTCAGGCAAATATGCCAGTCCCTGGGCTAAGGCTGCTGAGGAATCATATATCCGCTATCGGTTATATTCCAGTGGTGCCTCTTGCAAGAATATTTGAGAAGTCATTCAGGAATGATGTAGGCTGCCATGTCTGGGCCTACATAAAATGAACTGATTATTTGTCACTTGGAGGTTGTAGCATACATACCGGGTCTGCTTATCATTTGTGGTGCACAATTCATGTTGTCTGATCTGTCTCCTTTGCAGTTATGATAGTAATGAATAATACTACAAAGTAATAACTATAATGCCTGGCACTCTGAGCCAAACATTTCTATTACGCTGCTACAATGCACAAATGTTGTTTAAAAATAATGACTCTGCAGGCCAGTAGATTCTGTTCTAAGCCAGCTTTCACACTTCACAAGCAAAATATCTTCTCACTATTTTCTCTAAATTTAAACACAGCTAGATGTTGTCTAGTTACCAGGTGCAGAATGCAGATCTAGGATTGCTCTTCCAGGGGTTCTCTGTCCAATGAAAATACACTTTTATGGTATTTCTTCCTTCTCAAATTTTCCTCATTGATATTTATCTTTTTCCAAAAAAAACCCACACCATAATATGTACTCTTTCTCCAAGAATCCAAAAACTCCCATCAATTCAGTTGTAGCCAAGGATCTTTTAATCTATGCAGTTTATCTGAAATGAAAAACAGGCATTGTTTTTCACTGTGGTGGTGTACAATCTGATTAGAATGAGAAGGGAAATATAGAATATCTGAATGCTACTCACTTTTCATTTCTCTCCTACACATCAGATGAACTGCCTTGGGAAGAAGAAATGTTGACTGAGACCAGCTTCTTTCCATGAGAAATGTCACGTTTTCCTTTAGGATGACTGTAGTGGAAATGCTAAATTGGAGCTTGAAGCAGTGATTGAGCTCCTGGTGGAAGGTAGGGCCAACCCAGAGAGCCCAGCTGCATGCAATGCACCTCCATGACCAGAAGGGGTGGAGCCAGGATCCATCCCTTCCCAGACCTCATGTAAGTGTTGGCAGTGGAGGCAAGGATACCTTGCTGGGGGTTCCTGCGTACCTGAGGCCTTCTGAGCAGATTCTTTCCTTTGTTTCTGTGCCCACAGCTGTTGCATTTCAGCAGTTCCTCACTTGCTGCAGCCTGGGACCTTGCTACTCTGCTGTCATTGCTGTGCTTTCTATCACATTACAATGACTCATCTGTACTTACAGAGCAATACAAAGGAGAGATGATATAGTACAGATCTAGTGGAAACAAGGTTTAGAAGAAAACTTCTCTGTTGCAACCTATCAAAGCCTTTGGTATCTTCAGCTGACGCATCTGATACACATCTTTGTCAAAAAATATGGATGACTGATTTAGTGGACAATAGTGTAACAGACTGGTCATCTCTGGCAGTCTGAACACTTCATTCTTATATCTTCCAGGTAGACAGCCGACTAGGTTGTAAGTGGGAACAGGTGTGTACCTGATTTTATCGAGTAAAAGAAGCTAGCAGATGCAGGAGACTGAGACTGACAGAAAAGGATATCAGAACACATCAGTTAGAGTAACACCTGCATCCTATTGAAGATGATAAGACATTAGAATGAATAACAAAAATGTCTGGAGATCAGTGTATTCTTCAGAGATAACAGAAAGTAGATTCTGTGAAAACATTTTCTTTTCTTGCTACGCTGCAGAAAAAAAAAAAAAAAAAAGGAGAAAAAGATATATTTTGTTAATAATTAGTTTTGAAAAACTCTTTAATTTCTTAATTAAAGCCAACTAAAGCCCAAGGTATTTCGATATGCAGCAAGCAAAAGACTTGTGAAAAGTTACAGAGAGAACAGAACATGACTGAGACTTGGAAAGGAAATAGCCACATGTAAGAGTACCCAAAGTACAAGCTGTGAACATAACATTCAAATCAGTCAGCAACATATTTATGGAGATTCAGATGATAGCAGTAATATGACAATAGCAGGAATATAAAAATAGCCAGAAACAAATATTAGTTTAAAATGTACAGAATGTCTAGAAAAAATCTTAAATAAGCAAAGAGGTAAATTAAAACTTAATTCTTCTGAGGGCATCTTTAGAACAACTATCTACATGAAAGGATTAAATATAACGATACCTGGGCCTTGGAACGGACTTGCTTACATTTAGAGATAAAACTGACATTACCTGGTGTACCACAAAACCCAGCCTTGGAAAAAACTCGCTTTTACATCTAAGCATACACGTGTTTCAAAGCTGAGACTGACTCAGCAGTCAATTGTTGTACCTAAGGAAGAGTTGGGAAGGGAGCACGTGGATGTAGCAATTATGTCTGCAAAGGCAAAAACATGGCAGGACAGGAAAAAATCATTCTATACTTACCCTACACTATCAGAAGACTGATGTGTCCACCAAAGCAACTCGAGCAAGTAGTAATAATGTACATGAGACAAGCTTTATTTGTTCGTGTGACAGCAATGTGGGTATAAGAAAGCAGAAGAAATGGAGAACAAAATCTCAAAATACATATAATGGAGAGATCAACACATATGAGCTAAATTCTTTGTCTACAAAGACAGAACAATACTCAAAACACAATGAACAAAAACTTGAAATTGCAGGTGACAGAATATGTATACTACCTCATGAGGAATGGAGAAATCCAGAGGACAATCACAGGACTGCATTACTTCCAATACTTTGTTTACATTTTGGAAAGAAAACTATCTCAGGATATTCTTATTTCAGATGTTTATGCATTTAAAATCCACATGTGCATGGAATAATTAAGGACTGTCTTAATGCAGCACCAAGAATTAAGTCAGACCAAGCAATGCCTACATTTGACTACAGCTGGTTAACTTTGTTAGCCAAGTAATTGAAGAGCTCATTAAATTGGCACATCCATGTGTCAAAAAGTATTTGACAACTGATTGTGAAACAGATTAATACAATTTATGTATAAAATGTGATAATTTCAACATAATCATCTCATGGTTTTCTGATGTGCTGTGTCTTAAGCAATGCCTATGTAATTGCTGGGAAGGGAGCTTTACACATCCATGACCTTCACTGGATCTTCACAGTTTCCAAACTCCACTCCTCTGTCCCTCCAGTTTCCCAATGAGGAGCCCTGCAAAAATTCCACATGAGCTCCAAAAAAGAAAGCGGCCATTTTCCTACCTCCTGAGTTCTCATTTTGTCCATGAACAGCAGGGATATGATTAGGCTGAGTACTGGATGTAGAAACAGTCTTTGTTTTCTTTCACTTACAGAACTAAAATGTGTGTGTATTTTAATTATCGGTACTATGATTCAACTATTGTTCATTTTACTGAGATCAGGTTTAGACATCACTGTCATGTTCTGAAGCTGTGGAGTATGAAAATGCACTCTGTGCTTCTAACAGCTTATAGACTTAACAGCCAAATAAGTGTATGACTGTAAAATGATCTTTCATGCTTTTACAGAAAATCTGATGGCAAAAAATATGATTATATAGCACATAATGTGTGCTGTATCACTCATCTCACACTTCCTTTCCCCTCTTTTTTTTGCCTAACCAAAAGTAGGAGAGGTCTGTAATCACTGCAGCTTCTCTTCCCGGACAGAACCATGGAAAATGCCTGTCCCAGACAGCAACAGTGTAATGGGCTTCTGGTTTCTGATTGGCACTCCCTCCTCCCCAGGAAAATGTCTTGTAGTAAAATAAATGTGTTTGTGCAGTGGTGACTATTTGTCACTGTAGACCCTGACACAGGCATTAAAGCATCTGCCATTTAGAACTGTGTCTCATAACTGCCCAACATGAGAGCTGTAATGAAATCCTACCTTACCATCTTGAACTAGAGGAGTCTGTTTAGTTAGCGAAGTTGCACCTCTCAGATGATAACAGGGCTGTAACTGATATGAACACTAAAGTCCATATCCAATCAAAGGAAAACAGCAATGATTTGGAACAGCTATGGACCCAAGGACTCTGTGAATATTTTCAGCTCTGCTCCTACAAAGATTGTTTAATTATATGAAGGCATCTTTTTCAGATCTCGACCTTTCTGACTTTCTGTCTCCACGGAACGTTTGCTAATCCAGTTGCCAAACTTGCATTTGAGATAGATGCTCCCTCTTGCTTACAAGTTCTCTGAAATGGACACACACAGAACACACACTTCCTCTGGTCATTTTGCAAACCTCCACTGAGAGACTATGTGAGTTTATGAAAATAACATTTCTTCAGACAAGCAGAATTTGAACAGTTAAGGAATTAACAGAATGTAGGTAAGCAAAAGTCAGCTTAAGGTCTAACAATATATACATATATAAATGCAAATCAAAAATTAAACCTGTTCTGTGTTATTGACCACACACTACTGTAAAGTTTGTGTATTTTAAGGTACAAAGAGATAACCCAGGCTCAGCAGTGCTACTACATACCACAGACCATGGACTTCAGTAATCTTCATTCCAGCAGCAGGAATGATTCTTCCATGAATTACAGTGAAGTTCTTTTGCTTACATTTTCCAGAAGCCATTGTCAGCATAAGCAAATCTGGTCCCCCACAGGGTCACTACTACCCAGATTTTCAAGAAAACTTGAAGTATCTAATTTCTGTTCACCCAGCATTTCTTTGGGGTTAAACATGCGTCCTTCAGCAGCTTACATGTCTTCTGCGCACCAGTTTTCTCATTACAGTTTCCACATGTCTTAGACATTTGAAACATCTCTAGAATGTGAAGATCTGCTTAAAACCTCCTTCTTAAAGGAAAGGAGAAATTAAATGTCTCATTCTTTTTTGCTTTTGCAATCCTTGGCGTAATACACTACTTCCACTGTGAATTTTGTAGGGCAGCAACACATCAAGGTTTTCTATAATTCTTAACAATTAACTGTGATTATCGGTACATTAGCAGACAGGGTATGTACATCAGGATCAGGCATGAAGAAATTGGTAATGCCAATACGTCATGTTTCAGAGTGAGAAAACCCAGGTGACACATTCTTAGAGCTCCCTGTAATGAGTATCAAAAGTGCAGTAAGTGGTGACTATTCAGAGATTGCTCCATAAGGATGCTCCTGACAAAGTAAAATAAGAATGTAAACACACGTATAGGTATTTGAGTGCACCACTTAGCAAATCAGGAGGAATAGCAGATAACTAACCCTTAAATAGCTTAAACTGGTGCTCTAACCATACAACATGCAGGTAACAAGTGGCAAAAAAAAAACCAAACGTGGATATTAGCATAATCCCCAGATAGGTCACCTAGCTTCACATGAATATACTGCCAAACTCAGGTGATAAGATCTTCTGTGTGAATGGGAAATCACTGAGAGCACAACAGGAAAAAGAGTGAAGAAGAAAAAGGGGATATTTGGAGTGGCATGTGAGGCCCTGTGGTCCAAAATCAGAAAATATTTCTCTGTAATTCTAGATTAGATTTCTGCTCAAATCATAAGATGACCTTGATTCAAGAATGACCTTGGCATTATCAGCTCATCACAATTATATAAAAAAATCTACAATTCATTTGGAGGAAAGAGTAACTGAGGTCCTAGAGATCAGCCATGACAGAAAATGCAATCTAAGTTTCTCGGATTTGGGGTCATCTTGACTTAATATTTCCTTGGTAGGACAACAGATCTCATACATCAGCAAAATACAATACATCTCATCTGTTTCTCTGCGTTTGCAAATGTGCTTAAAGTACCGCAGCTTTCTGCTGGAAGGAACATATGGATAACATACAGTCTTCACAGACCGAGAGCAAGTTTTCCTGTGAAGATCTGTGAAGTAGCAGTTGGTACCTTACAGATGGACTTCCTCAGAGATGCCCATTCCAGTGCCATGCCCAGCTTTTCTTGTTCATATATTTTTCTTCCAATACAGATGCAAGGTGTGAGAGAACAAAGACAAGCACCAATTTCTGACCCCTCCATTTGTAATGCTTTTGTAATGGTGAAAATTATTAAGGGTACTTTGTTCATATAAGCTATGGTTGCTTGCTAGCTGTTGTGCTGACCAAGGAGCTAGAATAGGAGATGCAACACAATGGCTAAAGCAAAATCAAAGTTGCTTACATGAAGGGGAAATGGCCAATTTCACTCAAACTAAAATTCAGTTACAATTGAGAAGATTTTTGCTCAATAAAGGGCTACCTTTGTTGTCCCCACATTACTTTGAGGAACTAGGTCTGTTTACTCCAGCTCTCAATGAATCAATGCTGGAAAGAAAGAAAGAACTTTTTGTTTCCTGCTTAAAGCAAAAAAAAAATCAATCTGTTGACAGCTGAAGGAGCATCTGGCTCCTCAACTTCTACTTTCCCAACTCCCTTAGTCAAGTTAAAACTCTCCAAGAGGACATTTTATGAATATTTCTCCCAAAGTTTTCATTTGTGTAAATTGATCTAATCTCTGTCTTATTCCAAACACCTCCAGATCAGCAGTGAAGAAACTAAAAATTAAAAGAAAAAAATAATAATACTGTAACAAAAAGTATTTTAAGTGATGAGCATGCATAATTTATTTATTACTATTGTAATTAACAGTGTGGGACTAACATTCCCCTAACACTGAAAGGCACATAATTGCAAGGAGCAACTCTTCCCTCAGTAAGTGGCAATCCACATGAGAAACACACAGCATAGGTACAGGCTGACATTACATCCCTTTTTAAAGGTAGAATATTAAATCACAGGAAAATTCAGTGACTGGTCAAAGGTCAAACAGAAAACTAATTACAGAGCTGGGAAACTGAGAAACTGTGCCTTATGTTCAACTCTTTAATTGTAAGGCTAACCAATATATATATATATGTATGTGTATATATATACATATATACAACTTAGTGCTGGAACATAAATATCCAAGTTAGTTTCACAGGGAACAGGCTGCATTTCTCTGTCTCATCCAAAACTGGATATCATCCTACCTGATTAAACCAGGAATTAGGTCAATTTTAACAATATTAATTTGGTTGAAACAAAAATCATGGCTACTGTCCACTATTTTTGTACTCAGAAAAACTGGTTTGCAATCAGTTTTGGAGAAAGACAAGTCAGTGACTGATTTTAATGTAGCTTTTGACAACTGAACAAAAATGCCACAGTTACTTCACAAAACTATGAAATTAGAAGCTAGCTGTGAGAGACATCATGGTACTACAGGGGCTCATCTACTCCTCGTGTATTATTGAACTTATCTGAGCAAATATGCACACAGACACAGAGAAATATACCTACTTATCCACACACATATATACACATGTGTGTGTGTCTGTAGATACAAACACATGCATGTGTATACACATATATCTATTTTTACATAAGCAGTGAGAAATTACATGTCACGTAAGGATCTCAAGGCAGACCAGTGAAAGAAGCAATACAAGACATTTTCCCACACTTTCTCTTTCTTGAGGTGAGATGTGACATTACAGTATATCTTAACAGAGGGAGATCACAAGCTCCGTTTCTGTCTCAGGGGCCAGGAAGCTCTGTAAGTCTTGCCAGGCCCAAGGGATTAAGCTGCAGTTTCAACAGATGCCTGGGCTTTGATTGCCCTAGACACTGTCAAGGACAGGGGCAGTCCGGAGAGCCCCATTAGGCTGTAACCCAGTCACCTGAATTCACTTCTGTCATCTCCCAGGAAACATCGGAAAGTTCAAAGGAAAACACTGCACCAGGGTGTGATAACCACAGGTGCTTCAGCTCTGCAGCACAGCTCTTCCTTGGCAACCCTCCCCTGTGTGTGGAAGAACAGTGAGACTGGCTCCCAACCTTGGGCTGGCTGTGGGTCATGGGAATGGCATGCTTTGAGGGGGCTGAGGGAGTAGCAGGGGCTTCTGAAAACATTACTCCTTCTGTTTGGACAACCATGGCTGCCTTTGAAAGCCCTCCTTACAAACCTGTACTTAGCACTGCGGTAAGAAGTGTGCAGTGTGTATGGTGAGTATCTGGCCGCGTGTGTGTGGCAGGGGAGGGCTCCGTGGGCAGCTCTGTGTCTGTGTTCCCTGCCAGCCTCCAGCAGAGCTGCCTGCTGTGCTCGGACACAGCTCCCCAAACCCCCTCCTCACCTCGTCATCCCAAGTTCACAGGCCTTCGGGGGGCATTTTTCTTTGTCATTTGTTTTCCTTTTTTTCTTCTCTTTGCCTCCCTCCCCATGTTCCCCCTCCTTCCCAGCCTTCTAAATAGGAGATGTTCTCAGGACAGCGCCCAGGAGACTGGCTGGAATCAGTTTTGGAGGGTGATGCACCGCGACAGCTAAAAGTTGGATAGGGTTTCAGCAGCTCCTATATATAAAGCAGTGGGGACTTATGTCACCGCACTAATTAAATTCCATCTGGGTTGCTCCTCGGGGTGTTTTTGAGCCTGCCACCCCACAGGAGCAGGCAGAGGGGCCCAGGGACAGCATGATGATGGACCTTTTCGAAACTGGCTCCTATTTCTTCTACTTGGATGGGGAGAATGGGGCCCTGCAGCAGCTGGAGATGGCAGAGGGCTCCCCGCTGTACCCGGGCAGCGACGGCACCCTGTCCCCGTGTCAGGACCAACTGCCGCCGGAGGCTGGCAGCGACAGCAGCGGCGAGGAGCACGTGCTGGCCCCGCCGGGCCTGCAGCCCCCGCACTGCCCCGGCCAGTGCCTCATCTGGGCCTGCAAAACCTGCAAGAGAAAGTCGGCCCCCACCGACCGGCGGAAAGCGGCCACGCTGCGGGAGCGGAGGAGGCTGAAGAAGATCAACGAAGCCTTCGAGGCTCTGAAAAGGAGGACTGTGGCCAACCCCAACCAGCGGCTGCCCAAGGTGGAGATCCTCAGGAGCGCCATCAGCTACATTGAGAGGCTGCAGAACCTGCTGCACAGGCTGGATCAGCAGGACAAAATGCAGGAGGTGGCGGCGGACCCCTTCAGCTTCAGCCCCAAGCAGGGAAACGTAAGCACGGCGGCCCGCGCCCCGGCACCCAGCTGCGGGCCTGCGCTCCCCTCCCTCCTTCCCCTCCTCCTCCCCCCGACGGGGGGCTGACGGCCGCGGGAGGGGGGGGGGGGGGGGGGGGGGGGGGGAGAACAGGGGGGGATGGGGGCCGGGGGAACGCGCCTCGCTAACGCAGCCTTCCCTCTCCCCGCGCCCCGCCGCAGGTCCCCGGCTCCGACTTCCTGAGCACCTGCGGCTCCGACTGGCACGGCGCTTCCGACCATTCCCGCGCGCTGGGGAGCAGCCCCAAAGCAGGTAACGGCCGCCGCGCTCGGCGCTCATCCGCAGCCCGGCGCCCCCGCCCTATGACGGCTCCCCGCGGCCTCGTTGCCGGCCGCGCCCGCTCCCTAACCCCTCTCTCCCGCCGAGCAGGGGGCTCCATGGTGGAGTCGTCGGCCTCCAGCAGCCTGCGCTGCCTCTCCTCCATCGTGGACAGCATTTCCTCCGACGAGCCCAAGCTGCCCGGCGCGGAGGAGGTGGTGGAGAAATGAGCGCCGCGGCGGTGCGGCCGCCTCGGGACACGCTGCCCTCGGAGACCCGAGCCGCACGGACTCTTCTCTCACCTCTCTTTCTATCTTCCGTTTTGTTTTCTTGAAGTTTTGTCCCACAGACCACCCCCCATCCCTTTTTTTTTTTTTTTTTTTTTTAATTATTTTTAACTGACGGTACTTAGCGTTGTACCGGCGGAGCGCTCGCCCTGCGCCCAGCCGAGCAGTCCATTCCTGTCAGGGTGAAGCCGTTTGGCTGCGTTTCGTCTGCGTCGTGCTCAGAGCGTCCCCGCCTCGTTTCGCGTCTTGTAAATAATTTCAGTACTGCCTTTTGTAAACGTGACAGATGTGTATTTAAATGATGGACGTGATATTGTATATAAGAAAGGGTTCCTCGGACTGTAAAATAAAAGCTCTTTGTGTTACAGCGTTCCCCTCCCGGTTATTAAACCCGGACCGGTCCTGCGATGCCGCGCAGGAGGCGGTGGAAGGGAGCCGCTTTGAGCCGTTTTCTTTTCTGGTTTCGAAAGGTCGCAGCCACTTCTCGGAAAGGTCTCGCTCTCCTCGGCCTGGAGAGCACAGGAACCCACAAGCGTTGGCGAAAAAGCGCCGTCGTTTCGTTCGTTTTCGCTTCTGATCGGCCGCAGCCCGTTTCAGCAGAACACCTCCGACGGGGCTCCCCGGGACCCCAGGCTTCCTTGCGACGGGAATGTCCTCGCTGTGTTTGCAATTCAAGCGTTTGTGTTCGATACTAATAACGACAATCTGCACCCAATTCCGAAACCAAAACACTGCCCTGAATCACATTATCAAAGGGAGGACGATCACAGGAGGTCTGCGCTTTACGTCTTTGCCTCACATCTGTTCTCCAGGGGGCCCGCGCACCATGCTCACGCTAACTAACGCGGCTGCCCCATCCCGCCCCGCCGCCCCCCGTCCCGCACGGAGCGCACCGCCTGCACACAGCGCGGGGCTGCCGGCCCGCTGGGACGGACGCGGCCGAGCGCTCACGGCCCGCGCGGTTCCGGCGGCGGCAGCTGCCTGCAGAACGCATAGGGTTTTTGAAGCAAACGGGCAGGGGAACGGGAGCGGGGGGCGGGGGAAGAGTAGGCAAATAACGGAGCCATGTGCTCGCCGGCAGCCCTCCGGCAGCGGGAACTGCGACTTTCCCAGTCCCAAGGCTGCTAAAAGCCCCCGCGTGTCCCTTTGATCTCTCCTGGGAGTCCCGGAGTGCCGGCAGAGGCCAATGCCTTCCTCAGCTGTCCCCACCCGACCCCCCCGGCAGGTACCGATGTGTTTACTTAGGTGCGCCGTTCCCAGCACGGGGACCAAACGCGTGTTTCTCGCCGGGAGCGGCCGCTGCGGTAGCGCACAGACACAGCTCTGCCTCAACGGGCCGAGCCCACCCCCAAGCCTGCATACCCCGCGGTTTCCGTCAGAAGCATTTTGTTGCAAAGGGCTGGAAGCCCCCTCCCCTGCAGCCGCAGCCGTGTAAGTCTGCGTCTGCGCTCCCCTCTCGTTAGTTCCAGTCGCCTGCCGCACTTAGAATTTGTTGTGAGATCACTTTACCAGAGGAGCTGGGCGCTCCCGAGGGACATCAGTGCACGCTTTGTGCTGCACAGCTTCCCCTCTTCCCACCCCCAGACAGCCAAGCACGGCGGACGAGGCTTTCCCAGCCCCGCACGGACCGCGGTGCGCGCAGCCCCGGCTCCGTCGCACCGCACGCACAGCGCCGGGCAGTGGAAGCGCGGCCGCCGGCCCGAAAAGGACCGAGCATGTTTGTACACAAAGCTGCACACAGCTCTAGTTTAGCCGGCGCGAACGTCGTACATCAAATGGGGGGGAGGGGGGTGAGCTACAGCTCAGTGACGGGTTCACGTTACCGCGAAGCTGAGCCTTCCCGGCCGGCGGCTTAGGGCACAGCCGCGCTGCCCGGCACAGGCACGGAGTGCTCGTCCTTGCCTCTCTGTAACTTCAGTCCTTAGAGCAACTTTCTGCTTTTCGTGCAGTATTCCTTTCAGAGGGGGCTCACCCACTTATGGCCCCATACAAACCACTGCAGTGCAGATGCAGCCCTCCCAAGCCCCTAGGTCTTTCATATATAGAAGGGTGCATGCACGCTTGCAGTTTCCTTTAGGAGAAGTTTCATCCTAAGAATGAAAATCCGATTCTCTCTTTTTCTTTTTTTTTTTTTTTTTTCCTTTTTTTTTTTTTTACCCTGGCAGGAGAGGGGTGAGATTGCAGGGCAGGGGTCCTGCAAGGGTCAGGGGGAGATCCTAACCCCAGACCCTGCTTACTGCCCAGGCAGGTGCAGAAGCTTTGGGTGGGCGCTGTGTCTGAGACTGTGTCCCTCTGAAGGCTCCTGAAGACAACGTGGTGGGAATGTCCCTTTCTTCCCCTTCCCACAGCCGTTGTTGCAGCCCTGCCCTCTACCTGGCACCACACCGCTTCATCCGAATCACTGCAGGCTACTTTCCCTCTGTCTGTGGTAGCCTAATGACATAATTTTATTCCCAGGTAGGGAAAGTTTCCTTTGCACTCTCCTAATATTTTCCCCAACTGCAAAAGCCACCTGGCTGAAACCAAAGGGTTCCCGCACATTAGCAGCTGCCTGTTAAATGGCTTCATTACCGCTCTAATGACCCCTGCGCAGCTCTGCCCGCTACTGCTGCGGCTGGGCCTCCGCAGGGCTTTGTCCCTGCCCTGTGTAAAGTTACCGAGAGGTTTGGGGTTAGAAATTTTACACTTCCAGGAGGGGTTTGTTATGCCGGCAGCTGGGACGCATCTGTAACGGTGCATGTTGGCCTGAAAGCAGAAAATCAGCGGGCCCAGGGCACTGCGCGGCTGTTGTGTCTCTGGCAGCATCAGGTCGCACATGGAGGAGAAGCAATGGGAAGGAGTTTGTCTGGCAGCAAACGCACTTTGTGAGCGCTTCTCCATGTGACCCAACCTAAGAGCACAAACATCTGTTTGCCTGCTCCTTGCTACACATAGCTGTCCTTGTTGTCCCCTCTTGTGGGAACACAGCTTTAATTACAGGACAAAGTGCCTTCTGAGATCAACGGGTGAATGCGAGTGCTGAAAGAGGAGTAAATCATGTCACGTTGGATCTGTAGTGTGGGAATAGGGATAGGAGAGCAGGCACTGCGGGTGCGGTGGGATTCATTCCCCTTGGTGATGGCAAGGTGATGCAGGGGGTGATATGGGGAATGTCCATGGTCCATGCACTCACTGCCCATCTTTTTTTTTCCCTCCCCAAGCTCCCCAGTTTGGTGTAGGCTTTAGAGACTGCTCAAAGGCGGGTGAAGAGCAAATCAGCCCCTTGGGGGCCAGAGGGGGCCTGCCCAGCCGGGCAGGGGCTGCGGGGGATATGCTAATGGAGCCGGGCCGCTGCGGGCCAACCTCCCACAATGCGCCTATATAGGGCCCCGCATCAGCCGGCGGCCACTTTGTCTCAGGTCGCTAATTGCAGAGGGAATCACTGCACTGCGCTGCGAGCTGCCAGCCCACTCTGCTGCCTCGGACGAAGAGATGGAGGTGATGGACAGCTGCCAGTTCTCCCCATCCGAGCTCTTCTATGACAGCTCCTGCCTGTCGTCCCCTGAGGGTGAGTTCCCCGAGGATTTTGAGCCAAGGGAGCTGCCTCCCTTTGGAGCCCCTGTGCCCACTGAGCCTGCCTGCCCTGAGGAAGAGGAGCACGTCCGGGCCCCCAGTGGACACCACCAGGCTGGCCACTGCCTCATGTGGGCTTGCAAAGCCTGCAAGAGGAAATCCACCACCATGGACCGGCGGAAGGCAGCCACTATGAGGGAAAGGAGGAGGCTGAAGAAAGTAAACCAAGCATTCGAGACCTTGAAGAGGTGCACCACAGCCAACCCCAACCAGAGACTCCCCAAAGTGGAGATCCTGAGGAACGCCATCAGGTACATCGAGAGCCTCCAGGAGCTCTTAAGGGAACAGGTGGAGAACTACTATCACCTGCCGGGACAGAGTTGCTCTGAGCCCACCAGCCCCAGCTCCAGCTGCTCCGATGGGATGGTAAGAGCAGGGCAGGGTGAGGGGCAGCTCACGATGGGCTCGAGCAAGGGCCCTTGGCAGTGGGACTTTGGGAAAAGGTGGATAACTTGGGTGAAATCTTAAAAATGTTGGACAATTGGAGTTCCCACCAGCCCTTTCCTAAATTTAAGCTTGCACATGGGCTTTAGGGCACCCAGCAGGCACCCCAGCCTCTGCTCGCCCTTTGTCCCCTCCGTTTGGGGCCGTGCGTGGGGAGGGAGGTGCAACCCGGCTGGAGCGCACCCGAGGGGCCGCCGCCCGCTCTACCGGGATGCTTCGGGGGGCTGCGCGGGCGGACGGGCCGGCACTGGCCCCTCGCTGTCTTGCAGGCGGACTGCGGCAGCCCGGTCTGGCCGGCGAGAGGCAGCAGCTTCGAGGCGGGGTACTGCCCCGAGATGCCCCACGGTAAGGCCGGCGGCGGGCGGGGGGCTCGGGGCGGCCGGCGGGCGGGGGTCGCGTCTGGGCGGCCTGCGGTAAGCGGCTCGCCCCGGTGCCAGGTTACGCGGCGGAGCAGAGCGGCGCGCTGTCCAGCCTGGACTGCCTCTCCAGCATCGTGGACCGCCTCTCTCCGGCAGAGGAGCCGGGGCTGCCCCTCCGCCACGCCGGCTCCCTCTCGCCAGGCGCCAGCATCGACTCGGGGCCCGGGACGCCCGGCTCGCCGCCTCCCCGACGGACCTACCAGGCGCTATGAAGGGCCGGGGACACCGCCCGTTCCGGGGCTGACCCCGGCTGCCCTCTCGTCCGGCCTCCCCGCAAAAGCTCTCGGGAGGGAGGAGCGGCCCCGGCTCCGCTGCCGTCGGGGCTGGGGGCGATGCCGCCGCCCGGCGCAGCCCCCGGGGCTCGGGACGCGTGTGCTGCCCTGGAAACCCCGCTGCAAATAAAGCGTGCTACCACACAGCCGGCTCGCCTGGTGCTTCTTTAACCGCATCCCCGCGTGCTCAAGGGGGCCCAGCTGTAGTGCCCGGCCTGGCTGGGAGCTCTCGGCTCCCCCACCCGCATGGGTGCTGCTCTGGGGCTGCTCACGGGGGAGCAGAACTCTGCAGGGTCAGACTCTCCCTCCTGCTACTAGCACTTTCCTTTATTTTCTGTGAGAGTGGCAATAATATTTAATTTTCATCATCTGTTGCAAAGCCCTTGCTTCTTTCCATGGATCCAAAGACCAAACGTGTCAGGACTTGGCTACAGCATTGCATGGTCACTTCCTTCTGTGAAAGACTGCATGACCCAGGCCTGATACCCTGTAGGGGAATTCTGATCTCAGTCACTCTCAGTGCTTTTGCAAAGACAAATTTAGCAGATTTGCTAAGAACAGACCACAGTTTGGTTTCACAACCCACAAGGTACATTTTGCAATATTCAGAAAGCAATGTAGAAGTGTCTGTACCTCCTACTTTTTGGTCCCGCTAGTCTGGATGAAAATCCTTGACTTAATATTTGCAGTTGTGTGGACCTAGAAACAGCCAGATCAAAATTTCATGAGTTTCAGCTATTTCCTTCCAGGCGTGCTTCTCTTCTGCCTCTTTCTCCCATGAAACAATTCCAACCCTTCTCTAGCTGCAATCAGAAACTTTTCTAAGCCCCACAAAAGAGATCTGTGAGGGAGAAATGGGCTCCTTTGGAGCACCCAGGAATGTCTTCTCTGGTAAGTACACCAAGTAGAAAGAGAGAAACAATTCACCAGCATGGGTTAGGGATGTCTTTGCCATTTGTGTTTGTGTTGCTAGCAATGGGTGGTCAAGGGGCCTGGAAGTGGTGATTCACCTCTGATAAATCTTTCACTTGAACCTAGCCCAGCTTAGTTACTTCTCCGAAAGCTGCCACCTGACTGCTCTTTGGCAGCATCCACAAAACAAGGATGAGGAAGTACCCTCAGGATGGCCCTGTCCTCAGCATGCAGCTCACTCACCCCAGCAGGCTGTGGGGACACAGTGTGCCTCCTCCTGTACACCTCCCCTGAATGTCACCTTTTGCCCTTGCCATGTGACCTCAAGGTGAGTCTCTGCAGTTTCTTCTCTGCAGTTGCTCAGAAAAAGCTTTTTCCAGAATGATCTTTATGTCTTTATAGATAGATCCAAAATAATCATCAAGCAGAAAAAGTGGTTGAAAAGCACTTAGCCTGTGTAGAGGTACAAGCATTATATCATTGCACATGCTCCAGGATGCAAGCGCCTGATTGAAATACAGTCCTTCTTGGCTATTGGCGACAGCTTCCTGAGCCCTCTGTGGAAATCTTTGTGTAAGATCTTGAGCCTTTATTCACAATCTCTCACAAATTGCTGCATTGGTGACTGGTGACTTGCTTGCTCTGCTCGAGCAAAATGCAATCTCAAGGACACTGCTTATGGCCAGGAGACAGTGCAGAGCATTCTAAGTTATGGTTTACTATGGAGCCAAGTGGGAAAATTTCTGCATTTCATTCTGCACTGTGTTGACCTTGGCAAGTGATCTCCCGTGAAGTATGCAGAGCAACACCAGCAAATCACATGTTGGTAATGTACACCCCTCTTTGGCTGGCAGACATTTTGAGCATTGCAAAAAGGTCAGTACTTCTGAGGCTGGCTTTTCAGAGAGCTAGCAAAAGTACCAACCTGCGGGATGTTTGTCCATAGCCTCCTCAGCCCTACCAGGCTAGATTACAATCTCAGGCTTTTGTTATATACATTGAGAAAACCAACTCTTGATCATAGCACATCTATAAACAAAGCTGCTGTGAACCTAAATGTGCTGTAACCCTCAGGAGGAGTGGAAGTTCGCGTTGTGAAACCAGTTTTAGTCTGTGGATTGGAAAGAACAAGGTGTAAAATGCCACTGTCTTGGGACATAGCTGTTGTGGTCACATTTTGTGTGGTCAATAATAATGATGAGGAATCTCACCTACTGACAAACAGATGGAACAGTGCCTCATAGCCTCAGGCTATGCGTGATTTCAGAAGTTTCTGTCACTCCCTCATTGCAATGAGTATATCATTTTCATAATAAAATTCGTGTTATATTTTAATTCTACCTCTGAAATACATGCTTTCTTGGATTATATTCTAGCTGAATTTGAGCTGGGCTTATATTTTGGTGATGAGCTTCTTGTATCTTTCATTAAGAAACCAAGCAGAGATCTTCAAAGAAATGCTTATTTTAATCTCAGATCAAAAGTCTTTCTGTACATTACACACCTAACAGAGGAACCTCTCAAAGATCTCTTAAATATAACATCAGGAAAAAAATCTGCTTAGGGAATAAGAGATGCAAGGAGCAGTGAATCCACATATGACAGGATAGTCCACTTCAAATGAAGATTTCCTCATATCAGGTTACAGGTAGCCATGTCCAAAAAGTAACCATATCTAAAACCTTTCTAACATCAGAAGAGCTGAGCTTTAGGCTTATTCATAAGAAATGCTGCCCTGTGGGCCTGTACTTCCAGGCCCCTTTCTTCCTCTTCAGTGTGTTTGCATGTTTCTGGAAGATTTTGTCTGCATGTTGATGTGTTACTGCTGTATGCTGATAATGACCATGCTTTTCACACCTGAAGTGTTACAAGTGTGTTTGTGAATCAGTGGATATCAGATGTACTTTTGTATCTTTCCCAGGATTTCAAGCTGTTGTCTGTGTAGATGTGTGCCTGGAAATCTTTTCTGCCTGATATAAATTTGTTTTTCTAAGAATGTTTTCCCTTGTGAGGTGTGTGTCCATTGAGAATGTGCTGTGAATTCATGTGTGATGTAATGAGCTCTTGCTGGGCTTCTACAGCAAAGGTTGAAGAACAAGCTTCATTACAATGTTTTTAGTCATATCTTTTTAAAAGGCACATCATTGGAGTATATGCGTTTGATTCGGGAGGAATTCAGCATCCCCTTCTTCTCAGCTTGGCCTGCTTATCAGGAGCATTGGTGGCAGCAAGCAACTCTTCCCTCCCACAGCAGGACTCCCTCCCTCCATTTCTCCTCTGCAGAGCTCCTTGCTCGCTCATCGCTTCACCCTTCTCCTCTCAGATGGGCCCTGGGATCCCAGGAGGCCTGCAGCTGGCCTGCTGACCTTTGGCAGGCTCTGTTTGGGATATCAGCCCCACAGCTGGCCACAGCTGCCTTCCTGGCAACTCAAGGTCTACTGAACGTGGCCAGATGGAGACTGGGCTGGGTTCCTACTAGCTAATCTGATATTGTGAGGAATGAAGAGCTCACCCTGAGTGTGGGGCCGAGCAGCACATATTGGCACGTGCTGCCACAGGGTGCCAGGGCCGGACTCAGGCTGACTGAAAAAGAGACAGCAGAACTGTTTGTTCTTATTGTGCTGTATATGACATTTCCCTTGGATATTAGTTTAGACTTCAATAGCCACCTTCTCCCTCACTTCTTTTGTTCTTCTCTCCATTCAGTCCAAGAAATACACCCATCTGCCACACCAGTACAGGACTGAATGAAGGAATTATTGCCCTTCCCAGACACAGCGTGATATATTTTCTCTTTATTCAACTGCTGTCCCACTTCCCTTCCTCCAGGATCTTATGCATCTTGGATGCTCATGGACCTCATGCCAAACTTACTGTGACACTGAGGCAAGCTACTTTCTGAAAGGTCTCTTGCTTTCTGGTCCCCAGACCAGCTAACAAGGGTCATCCAGTTCCAGGGCCATCCTGGAGCATTAGTAGCATTTATGGGCTGCCTGGCAATCTGCTTGAAGATATTGGTGGCTGTGATGCCAAAGGCATTGCTGACCTGTGCTTGAAGAAGGCAATAGAGGGCATGATATATGAGTGTCAGCAAGCCCAGAGAGTGATCATAAAGGTAGTCAGCGTCTGTATTAAATCAAGCGTGTTTAAATCTGAGGCTCTCTGAGAAGCATTCAAAGCTGGAGTAGCAGCAATGAAAGGAATCTGTGTCCTTTCTTTTTATTTCTTTAACCTTTCTTGATTAATATAAGCTTTTAAACTGATATTATTTTCTGTTTTGAAAAATCCATACAAAATGCATACTAAGCAAAAACTAAAACCTAAAAAGGAAGCATTAAAACCTTTAGCTCTGATTTTTTTAATTTTTTTTTATTTTTTTTAAGTACCACACCCTACTGCTTGCAGTGGGACTGAGTTACCTAGCAGGGACTCCAGGATCCAGCAAAAGCTTGAGCTAGTGTATGTATTATAGAGAGCCAAAATGTAGATGTAATCAAGTTTGAATTCTGCCTGTTGCCTTGATATCACACAATTCATTAAATTAGTAAATGAACAATTCCTTAATCAGGGGTAAACAAATAATGACTGTAACTTCAGTTACACCTGTGTGTGGCACAAAGACCTAATTAGCAGATGGATCACTGCACCAACGAGAGTTTCAATTTCTGTAAATGGAAGTACTTGAATCTGCCCTGCTCCCTTCACTTCCACATTTTAAGTAACTACATATCCAAGGTGTGGATTTCTTTCTTTTTTTCTTTTTGTTTAAACTAGCGTGAAAAAATACTGTTTGTTTTCCTTTCCAATTCATTATGCTTTGAGGAAATAGAAAGACAAACAGTATTTAAGGTTTGAAAAGTATTTATTTCTACAATTGCTATTTTGGAGCATCTTCAAATTGATCTAATAGTGAAATTCTGAATACTGCTGTGTGCACTGAAAAGCAGAAGGGGAAGTGTCACTGCTGAACATACATACAAAGCGTACATCTGAAATCTCTTTCCCATATGCAAGTCTTGTATATACAGTTGTGGTAAATACCTTTATAGACAGCAGTGATCGTAGCAAAAATTCTTTCTTAGATTTAGCTGCTATTTCACT